AAACATGACTTTGCCTTGAACGAACATTGCTTAAATCATTCTGAGTAGCCGGAATGTCAGATACCATTAAAATGGACATTAGATCTTTGACACTAATAGCCCAGATAATGATGTGAGAAACAACAACAATATGATGTGTTAGGGACGACAAATCATGGTATGTTCAACAGAAAGTAGCGGAGTTGCGTAGCATAAATAACAGATACCGTTCTCTGACTGAAATTTTCGTCTCCGTCTGCTGATGGATGCTTAGCTGGCCAAGCAAACTGTAAATATAATAATTAAAGTGGGTGACTGACAGGTGAACCTTTCGTTGCACTTCAGTGCATTAGTCATTTAAAAGTCTAACATATCTCTTTCCAGTTAAAGGATTGTACACGAATGCGCAAAGGAACTCAAGCTCTTAACTCATCATCAATCACTGCAGTTATTTCGTGACAACGAGCGTAAAGGAGATGTAATTCACAGATAGCCATGGTCACAACATGAATGCACTGTGCTCTAATGCAAAGTCAAAATAGTGGCTCATTTACACATCAGGTTTACGATAATGAACCAGGGTGCCAAATCAGTCAAAAATTTAACCATTGTGCATAAATGCTCCAATTATTAATATACCCATACACGTACAGTTTGAAACGGCTTTTGTTTTCAAACGGTTACTGCTGTTAACTTAATACGGAACCTGTATGAAATGTTTCGCCTGTTCTCATCGCACTGATAGAGTTTTTGAAAGTTAGAAAAACAAGCGCGCCAAATCATTGCTTTATATGATGCGCAGAAGAGAGGATTGTTAAAGCGTAATAAATTCGCCGATTGGCTTACCCGTCGGGGAAACAGTGAGAGGCAGTTGCCATCGCCAGTTCGTTGGAGATGCAGACGAGAGAAGCAGAACAGTGTATGACGCTGTGCTCATCGTCGGTCATTTCTATTATGCCGAGCCAGGGCTTAGACACAGGGTCACCTTTCATAATTCTGTGCCGACTAAGGCATGTCTTCCAGCGTGACGTTCTGCCGCAGTGTTCCTCGCACAGTTCGTTTGCCTAAAAGCAACGTACCTGACGACAAACAAGCGAATATTAGACTCGGCAATTACCTGAACCTGATCCGTAGTCCAGTCCAGCGTAAGGAGGGACGCATAAACGACCACCAGTGTTGATATGATTGCCATGAGGGTGTTCGGTGAGTTAGACAGTTTTATCTGAAGCCACTGCACTAAATATGCGCTGCAAGGAATCAGCACTTCATTTCGTCGCAAATAAACATACCTGTTCAAACAAAATGGCGCCTGGTTTCGTGAGACGGCGTTTTGCATCGACGTCGTTTATTCGGAAATGTGGAGCGTTTTCTGCCCTATGCAGATTTATAAGTTATCATTTCATGAGCAATCGGCTAAGCCATCAAATGCACATGATACAGTAAACATGGTAGTAACCATAACCCCAAACTGTGCATAGGGCAGAAGATAATAATGAGATAATAATAAAAAATTGGCTGAAACCACGATCCATACACTCATCCACAAATAAATTATTAGAACAGGTCGCCAAGGCTCTTTCAGCAATGTCCGGAATTGTCAAGGAACATGATGGAAAATAAATCTTTGCATTGCCGAGTGTGCTTATGAATCGGTTTCTACTCCTCGGATATGCAGATTTAGCTAAATGGTTCCAACTGGCATCCGCTGATAGAAAGAAAATTAAAAAAAAACAGGACGGAAATCACCCTGCTGCGATTGTCCATCGATGATTCTAAGTAGGCTGTTGACGCATTGCCATCGTAAAAAATAATAATAATTACTGAAATGAATTCAGAATCTAAATGTTGTAGTCTCATCTGGGACACGTTCATCACCTTTGTTAGAATTCAGGGAAGAATTACTGCGTTGAATAGGTTTAGGTTCTTCAAATAAGTGCTCTCCAATCCTTCAGTAAATCTCTCTCCAGTGAACTGAATATGTCAACCCGTGACCATCTTATCGTTGAAGACCCTTTTAAGCATTTTCTCATTTCTAAGAGTCTGGGAGTCAGCTTCTGTCCCATTGTATAACCTAGCATATTAACCACTTCCTACCAGTGGGTATGATCACATTTCGCCAATACATGTTGATTTGCAGTTGAGACAACGAATCTAGTTATCAATATCTTCTCTCCCTGCTGTGTAGTCTGATTTCTTATTATAATTAATGGTGACTGGTATGCGGTTTGACAATTGTAGGTTCTGTTCAGCTTCGGGTCAGTCTCCCCAAGCCACTCGACAATGAAAGGTTTGGGGTTGCCAGTTGCTGAAATTATTGTCCTACTTTCGAAAGGTGACAAGATAAGAAATATGCTCATATTTCTTGGCTAAGTGCTTTGAACCAATTTAGCTCTCCCAGGTACGTCTGTCCACGATACCCATCGATGCTTGTGCGGATCGAATGAGGCTTACTCTTCAAAACTTCAGACAAAACTTGGTCCTGACCTTTCGTCCAGGTAGTATATGACCAAGAGATGAAGGATCGTTGAGGATCTGCCTCTGAATGGCGAACTAGAAATTAATCAGGCCGCGAATTTCTTTTAATGGGCATAGCCCTTTACAGGAATATGCTGACGAATGTCATAAGTAGAACACACATCATACGTGGGAGAAATTCCATCTTGTTGCATATGCCGCCTTACGTATTTGATAGTAGTATTTGTCATGCTGGACTGATAGAAGTACATATGGCACGGAATTTCCGTTAACATTTTAAAAGACCTCATATGAGATATAGCGATGTTGATAGTCCATTAAATCTAAGTAAACTATGAGTACAGAATGTGCAAATGAGGACAGCAAAATTTTGGTTTTCTCACCTTCGCGTTACCAAGATCCGCGATACACGGAACCGTACAATAAGCCTGCCGAAACGTCTGCCGGCTCTCATGACAACTGTAGCGGACGGCACAATATGCTCTGCCAAGCCGTTTCATAATTTTGGATGCCCGATGCTCATGACCCGAACGGGACGATTGACTCTGAGGACCAAAACGAAACAACTAGCAGAAAAGTTTATGATCAACTTTTCATTGTTTTTGAAAGTCACATCACATAATACGGCAATAACACGAAACCGAATGAAACATTACCTCAGTGAAAAACTTTTTCACACAGTCACTTACATTCTGAACTCCTCAAAAGAATGCAAGCAAATGACTTGAAGATTTTATGAATTTTGTGGCCGTACGGAATATCATTTAATGACGGCTTGTTATGCCCTACCTTTATGTTTGATCTTCAGGCATTCTCCGTCTTGCAGTTAAATATTCTCCTCTCACATGGACCTATTGTTCCCAGAACTATTTTATTCGACTCATCTGAGAGGGTTGCGAGGTGTCCAACGTTTGGCAACACTGTGATGTTCTCTGACGTCGTCGACTAAGCTACATGACTGAATCAGGCAGCGAAACGTATGCCAGACACCGATATGCACGATGCATACAGTCATCGTTTGGAGGTACCGTATACCGCATGCGGAACGTGCTGCAGATCTAGTATGCAAAGTAGTAGGCGGCGATGCCATATATGGTGCTAGACTGACGTTCAGGTTCCAACGTGAATACGTTTATTACTTTCATGAAATGGATAAAAATTAACACTGGAAAGTTACCTGGCAAAATATAATCACGTTTGTTTCACCATTACAGCAAACTAATAATTGGTTATTGTAAATGATTTCTTTCTCTCTATCACTACTATTTTTGCAGGATCGAACCTGACGGTATCGCCAACCTTCTTCGAGACTATAACACGCAACTTCGTTTTATCAAAGTAGCAATGAACTTTCCAAAACGAAGATTTAATACCATTTTCCCAATCCGTATCTTTCATTGATTTCACTGAAAAGAGCTTTATATTCCCTGAATGACCTCTCAACCCTCTTTCAATTTCCTTTCGTATTTCCTTCCTGAAATTTCGATTTTAACAAACTTGGCTAACCTGATTACTCTTGCAACCGTGTACTTCCGGTTATCCGCCGTTTCCTTTAGCTATCTTTTGTTCCAGTTCTTTTTCTACCTTTGTTAGTACTATTTGTTTTTATGTGTTGAATGCTTTTGCTGTTGACGTGGTAATTTTCGAATCGTTCACCAGTCATAACCTGATATACTGGAGGTTCTGGAAGCTGGAGGCTTCTGGACGTTTGAATTAGCTTCTGAACACTTCACGCCACACTCGTGATTTGCAAAATATGATCTGAATTTCACGTAGTCATAATGCGGTTACGGTCGCTGCAACATTCAGTACTAATACACACTGGAAG